TCACTCTTGTTACCCAGGCTGGAGTGCAATGGCGCGATATCGGCTCACCGCAACCTCCGCCTTCTGGCTTCAAGCAATTCTCCTGCCTCAGCCTCCTGAGTACCTGAGACTACAGGCATGTGCCACCATGCCCAGCTAATTTTTGTATTTTTAGTAGAGACGGGGTTTCACCATGTTGACCAGGATGGTCTCGATTTCTGCACCTGGTGATCCCACCCGCCTCAGCCTCCCAAAGTGCTGGGATTATAGGTGTGACCCACCGTGCCTGCACAGGAAATTTAAAGATACTCTTTCTAGTTTACTACTCTAGAACCCTTCATTAAGCCTGAAATTTGGATGTAGGTTTATTTTGGGTATTTTTTAAATGGTGTAAGAAAGCACCTCAACATTTAATAGCTTTAAAAAACAATTGTTTTTTTTATAATTTCTCTTGGTTCCAGGGGTAGCTGAGCTTAGCTAGGCAGTTCTTACTCAGGGTCTCTTGTACAGTTGTAATCAGACAGTGACTAAGTATGGAACCACTTCACAGGTTTCCTTACTCCGGTGTCTGATGCCAGAGCTGGGAAGGCTCAAACACCTGGGGGTTGGTACAGGCATCTGAGGCATCTCTGTGTGATCTTCCTATGTGATCTCTCCAACATAGTGGCTGTAGAGTAGCCAGACTTCTTGGGTGATAACTTGGAGTTTCAGAGGTGCATCCTGAGAGAGACGGGGTAAGGGGGTGGCCCATCTCTGTCTGGAGTCTTGTCATCTCTGTCAGACAGACAGAGAGAGCATGCCAGGTGAAAGATTTATCATCTTTTATTTGCTAGTCTCAGATGTCATGTTGTGCCACTTCCACAGAACTCCATGAGTTGAGACAGCCACAAAGGCCCATTCACTTTCAAGGGATGGTGACACAGACTCCCCCTCTAATTGGGAGGGTGAGTCAGGGATTACAGAGTGATACTAACAGAGGGAGTCTGGGATTACAGAGTGATACTAACTGAGGTAGTATCAGCGTTCTGGAAGAGTGTGTGGGGATGGGAAATACCATCTTTGGAATATACTGTCTGCTGTAGGGCTCTCTGTGTGATTGCTACTTAATCTCAGGATAGCCTTGAATAAGTAACATAACCTTGAATTTCAGTTTTCTTACAAAATATAAATGTGTCAGTCAGCTATTGCTACAGTATTTCTGCATAGCACACCATTCCAAAACTCAGTGATATACAATGATAAGCATTTATTTGTTGCTCGTGTACCTCTGAGTATTTGCGATTGAGTGACTTAGATTCAGCTCAGCTCAGCTCATCTCCGAGCTGCTTGTTTGTTGGGTTCAGATCTGCAGCATGTGTCTTTCTGCCATCTTGGACCAGCTGGTCGAGGTATATTCTCCTTATGACTTAAGGGACGAATTTAAGGGGCAAGAGAAACAGCATAAATATGTTTAACCTTCTCTTCCTCTCAGATGAGCTAATACCTCATTCGCCTTTGAAGCAAGTCACGTATCCAAGTTCAGCTCCAAGTTCAGCGTCACTCGTGTAGGGAAGTATCTTCTTTGTATTTTTTTTCTTTCTTTTTTTTTTTTTTTTGAGACACAGTCTTGCTCTGTTGCCCAGGCTGGAGTGCAGTGATGCTATCTTGGCTCACTGCAGCCTCTGCCTCCCAGGTTCAAGCAGTTCTGTGTCAGCCTCCCAAGTAGCTGGGATTACAGGCACACACCACCATACCCAGTTAATTTTTGTACTTTTAGTAGAGCTAGTGTTTCACCATGTTGGCCAGGCTGGTCTCGAACTCCTGACTGCAAATAATCTGCCCACCTTAGCCTTCCAAAGAGCTGAGATTGCAGGCATGAGCCACTGTACCTGGCCTGTTTTAAAAAAAAACAAACTTGTCAGGGCACTACAAAAGAGGCCACTGCAGCCGGCCGTAATAGACTGAATTTAAACCACATTCCTTAGGTGTTTTTGTTAACCTGGCAAGCCTAGGCAGGGATTAGACATTTCTTCTCTCTATCAGGTACTATAAATACCTTTATTTGATCCTTTAGGACTCAGTTTTAGTGAAGATAATTTTTTCAGATTTGAAATTAGACAGAATTCTCAGTCATGTTCCTTTCATCCATTCCCAAATTATTGCTAATTTAGCCTGTTTTAAGGGATTTTGTTTCATCTTTGGGTTGTTTTGGATATAGAATAGGACCCTTCTGCAGAGTCTTCTCAATTTTTTTTTTTAAACTCTTGCTTTTCTCTTTGAAATAATGCTACCCTAAGGATTATTTCCCAATTTTATTGCCCATATTCCTGATATTCCATCTCTGCATCTCAGCTTTCACTGGGCCTTTAGCTCTGAGTGCTAATCTGCTTGTGGGGTGCAGTGTGAGGTCCTTTTTCAGCTTTCACGTCAGTAACCCAGCATGCAGATTTAGTAGTGACCACCCGAGTGTGTTTCATGCTGACAAGTCATGGAGAGGATTTTAGGGAGATAAAATTTATACACGTTGTTGTTTCACTTGTTAATTTTAGCGAGGGAAAATGTCTTCATTGAAAGTTAACTGTAGTAAACTTTTATCATAAAGCTGAACATCCAGAATTTATTGAAAGCCCAGTGGATCTTTTTCTAGTTGTCTTTATTCCCTTTTCTAGTTTGTTTCTTTCTCTTTATTCTTCTTGCAAACTTTATGTCTTTTTCCTTGGCACAGGGTGACTAAGGAAGTGGATGCTACATCTAAAGAGGCCAAATCCTTCTTCAAGCAGAATGAGAAAGAAAAACCACAGGCTAATGTCCCTTCAGCTCCACCATCACTCCCTGCCGGGTCAGGGTGAGTATTTGAATCTCAGTCCCAGATGTACTTCGCACATTGGAGAAGCTTTCAGTGCAAATACCTGCTTTCACTGCAGAGCAGACTTCTTCCCTGAGAGAGAGAATTATGATGCTGCTTTGCCTTTGCTGAAGTATTTACCAGAATGGAAGATGCAAAGGAGAATTAGCCATAGCTTTCTCAGGAGGATTGCTTGAGCCCAGGAGTTTGTGACCAGTCTGGGCAATACAGTAGGACCCTGTCTCTACAAAAAAAAAAAATTAACCGGGTATGGTGGCTTGCACCTATGTCCCAGCTACTGTGGAGGCTGAGGCAGGAGTATCACTTGAGCCCAGGAGGTTGAGGCTGCGGTGATTGTGCCACTGTACTCCAGCCTGTGTGACAGAGAGAGATCCTGTCTCTTTAAAGAAAAAGAAAAGAAAATTAGCTATAGCTTTCTCATTGGATGCCTAAAAGAACTCCTAGTTTGTAGTAATTGAACAAACACAAAGCTGAACATGTAAATTTTACATTTAAAAGTGATACTTTTTGAATGAAAATATCAGCATTCATCAGAACTTTTCATGAAGATTTGGGTTGAATACTCACTCTCATCCCCCAGGATCTCAGAGGAACATAAAAAGATCAAAGAAGATTTACAAATAGTTTTCTTAACACATTGTCAGGAACTTAATAGTTTTCTCCCTTCATATTTTCCATATTACTTGAGTTATTTTTAGCTGAAGGCTAGAATTCTTTCTTTTTGGAAGAGGCAAAAATTCTTTTCTTCTTAACCTAAATGTGAGAAGTAAAGCGTTACACTAAATAAGGAAGGCTTAAGACTGTTGCCTACAGGGAAATGAACATAGACCCACACCATGGATAGCCCTGACTACCCATCTGACTCCTGTGGGGGGTTCTGCATAGTCTTCTACACTGGCTTCTGTGACCCTTCAGTCAGAGATTGTCCCCTCTTCCTTCTCTCCTCAAGCATACCTGTCATTGCTATGAACAGTAAAGTTTTGTTTTACATTTTTTAAAAAAGCGTTGATTTTCCTGTTGGAGCATGAGCTTTTTTAGGGCAGGCCTTCCCCATCTTTGCAGGCCTTCCCCATCTTTGCAGCCCTGGCTGTAAACAACATTTATACTAGTTTACTCTCTTAGGTTGCATTTATCCAGAAACAGATCCTGAGATAAAGATTTAAGCGCATGTCATTTATGTGAGAGATGAATCCAGGAAGCCCCAGTAGAGAGGGTGCAAGAGAGGAAAGAAGCCAGTAAAGGGTGAGTTATCAAGCAGATGACTGCTGGTGGTAGCTGGCACTCATTCCTACTGGGAAGAACACAGTGAGGGCCGAGGAGGGTGGGATGTTTAACCTCTAGTGCCCAGCTGACATTGGCTCAGAGCTGCTTTGGCACAATTTTTGCCCTCTGCCCTCAGGCTATGAGCTGCAGGTGCTTTGTAGTAAGATGCAGCTGTCAGCATATACCATGGCAAAGAATGGCAGGATGTGTGGATCGGACCACTTCCTCATCTGTTACATCTTTATCTGCTCCATACTCAGGGTGTTTCTCTCCCGCTGAGCAGAAGTCATGTACTAGTTACACAAAAACACGAGGAGGAAGAGGATTTTGCTGCTTGCTACCACAGTAGAAATGACATAAAATCAAATGAAGGCAGCTGTAGAACAGAATTCTCCAGACCTGGCCCTGTTAATACTCTAGGCAAGTACTTTGCAAGCTGTGGTTTCCAATAATCAGTTAAGAGAAAATAGCAGAGCACACCACTTGTTGTAAGAGTAGATGCTGTTTTCCAGCCTGGCCAACATGGTGAAACCCCGTGTCTACTCAAAATTGAAAAATTAGCCGGGCATGATGGCGCTTGCCTGTAATCCCAGCTACCCAGGAGGCTGAGGCAGCAAAATCGCTTGAACCCGGGAGGCATGGGTTGTAGTGAGCTGAGATTGCACCACTGCACTCCCACCTGAGGAAAAACAAGAGTAAATACTGTTTTACAGAATTTTTATTTCAGTTACTGATGTGTTTATACTGGGTAACAAGCTATTTAGGATTTTTAAAATTTGAAGCTATAGGCTGAAACAACATGTTTTTAGCTTTAGATTTATTGTATTGTTTGGAGGGGGTTCTCTTTAGACCAGTAGCTTTCAAACTTCCTTGACTGCCACCCATCGTAAGGAATACATTTTACGTTATACCCTAGTACATCTGTAAAAATAGTTATGTAAAAAGGTGAGCTAAAAATTTGGTGAAATCTTTACCCTTACTATGTATAATATGCTCTGATTTTCTGTTTTACATTATTGTATATAGATGTGTCATTTAAAAAACTGTTTTGACCTGCTGAATTGGTTTCACAATCAACTGCAACCTGAATTTGACAAATACTGCTCTAGACTACGTATGGAATTAGCCTTCAGCAGGCGATTACGAGTTGCCAGGTTTGTATCTGGTATTATTACAGTGTTTCTTGCACTTATTAAAAGTATCACTATGAAAGTTACCTCTGGGTATAACTACCAGATGGAAGGAAATAAAGGTAAAGAAGCTCTTCTTAGGTTTCTGGTTAGTTTCAGCTAACATTATTGTTATTATTTTTTTTTCTTTTGAGACGGAGTTTCGCTCTTATTACCCAGGCTGGAGTGCAATGGCGCGATCTCGGCTCACCGCAGCCTCCGCCTCCCGGGTTCAGGCAATTCTCCTGCCTCAGCCTCCTGAGTAGCTGGGATTACAGGCACGTGCCACCATGCCCAGCTAATTTTTTGTAGTTTTAGTAGAGACGGGGTTTCACCATCTTGACCAGGATGGTCTCGATCTCTTGACCTCGTGATCCACCCGCCTCGGCCTCCCAAAGTGCTGGGATTACAGGCTTGAGCCACCGCGCCCGGCCATAAATTTTTATTTATTTATTTATTTTTGACAGAGTCTTGCTCTGTTGCCAGGCTGGAGTGCAGTGGCACAATCTTGGCTCACTGCAACCTCTACCTCTCTGATTCAAGAGATTCTCCTGCCTCAGCCTCCTGAGTAGCTGGGACTACAGGTGTGCACCATCACGCCCAGATAATTTTTGTATTTTTAGTAGAGATGGGGTTTCACCGTATTGGCCAGGATGGTCTCAATCTCTTGACCTCATGATCCCACCTCGGCCTCCCAAAGTGCTGGGATTATAGGCGTGAGCCACCGCGCCTGGCTAGCTAACACTGTTTTCACTTCTAGTTTCCATGGATATTTCTTCTTAAATAATCCCTGTTGATGCTTAGAGATTCTATTTGGAAACCGTGTATTTCAGAAAATACTCTTTGTTACTATAATTATAAAAATAACTAGAGAATAGAGAATGGCAGCTTAAAATCAGCTTATTTCCATGCCTGACTTTTTTTTTTGAGACAGAGTTTCGCTCTTGTTGCCCAGGCGGGAGTGCAATGGCATAATCTCAGCTCACCACAACCTCTGCCCCTCCCACCCCCCACCCCGGGTTCAAGCAATTCCCCTGCCTTAGCCTCCTCAGTAGCTGGGATTACAGGCATGTGCCACCACACCTGGCTAATTCTGTATTTTTAGTAGAGACGTGGTTTCTCCATATTGGTCAGGCTGGTCTCAAACTCCCGACCTCAGGTGATTCGCCTCCCAAAGTGCTGGGATTACAGGTGTGAGCCACTGTGTCTGGCTGCTAATAGCCTTTTTAGAATAAGAAATCTCTGAGATAATATCTTTATTTGGGAGACCCAGCAGGAAATAGATGGCATTCTCAAATGTGATACTTCAAGGAGAGTTAATACTCACAAAGTGGTGGAAAACCACAGGGATAGAAATATTGTGGCCTCCCTGGGGCTGGTAATAATGAGACTCCATTACCACCCCTAGGCCTGAAAGGGCAAGAGTGGGAGTAGTTAATGGCAGGGGAAGACAGGGTTAGGTGGAATGGACCTCCTGACAGGAGCTGAGACTTCTGTAAAGTGGTGGACTTCCCCCAGGAGGAAGCCAAGGGAATGAATACCCAGATCTGTTTCTTCTCTCTCTGCAGTTTCTTAGGGGCACTCCATTGCCCTCTTATTGAGGCTTATTGAAGAATATTCTGATACTTGTTAAAACCATGAGAATATTTTATCCAAAACTATTGCAGTGATTGTCAAGACCATCTCTAGGGGAGAGAGAGAGGGCTCAACTCCAAATACAACAAAGACAGCTGGGGATTTACAGCAGAATCAGGAGGCAGGTGGTCAGTGGATAGAAAATTACTAAGAGGAGATGTCAAGGATGGGGGATTCTTGCTCAGGGCTGGCTAGTGTGATCAGATATCAAGGGTAAGGGATTCTCTCTAAACTGACTTGGCACAAAATTCTTTCTAAAACTGGGCTGCGCAGGCCCAGCAAGGGCAGGGTCCAATGTCAAGGCTTCATTGAGAAGAGGGCTCAGTGGAGTCTGACTAGTTTGGTTTAAGGAGAGAATCTTCATTGGACTGTCAGTACAGAGCAGCTCCTAGAGCAGAGAGCAATGTGGGAAAAAGTGTGGAGGGAATCTAGGGGCCAACCAGGAGCTATTGCGGGAGCTTTTCAAGCGAAATATTTTTCGGTGGAGTAATGAATGCTGACTCCCTTATAAACGGAATAAAGTGAAATTTGACCAAAATCAGTTTCTTTGAAAGCCCTGATAGAACATAACACATTACAAGGATATGTCTGCCAAGTGCCTGAGTAAAAGTCCTCAGAGTTTTACAGGAAAATATACATGTTTGGCCAGACATGGTGGCTCATGTCTGTAATCCCAGCACTGTGGGAGGCTGAGTTGGGCAGATCACAAGGTCAGGAGTTCGAGCCCAGCCTGACCAACATGGTGAAACCCCATCTCTACTAAAAATAGAAAAATTAGCTGGGCGTGGTGGCACACACCTGTAATTCCAGCTTCTCAAGAGGCTGAGGCAGGAGAATCGCTTGAACCTGGGAGGCAGAGGTTGCAGTGATCCAAGATCGCACCACTGCACCAAGACAGCAAGGCTTTGTTTC